AAAAGAGAAATAAAAGTGGTAAAAACATAGAAATTTTAATTTCTCTCTCATCATTCATTCATTTCATCTTCATCACAAACGAGTCCTTGTGATCAGCTGTGATGGCGTCATGGCAATAGAATTCAGAGTGGGGACGGAGTGAGAGAGTAATAGCAGTTATTCCTTTTTTGATAGCTTATTTCTTTACTTCTTCGACAGATGTCAAAGAAGTTTTGAAATATGAAATTATGTCAATGTTGTTGATTGACAACTGAAACATTCGATTTAATACAAGGTACTCTCCGATATCAGTTTGTTGTCATTTCGCCACTATCCAAAGTTTTCTTCAAGATGGGTAGCCAAGTACGGTCTATTTCTAAGGAGCTATTCGAGATACAATTCTCTCCAGACATGAGAATATACGCAGATTCTTTCAGGTTACGTCTCTTAGAATGACTATTTTTTTTGTTATTAACTTCATACGAAATTGATGGTGTGATTTTTTTATCATGATAGGTAAAAAACAAGAGATACCCTAATACTCCGCAAACTAGAGTTGAACATAAGAATTGTACAAGTTGAGGAAGATCAACAAGATTAATAATAATGACGTAAGCCTAATAAAAATGTTAAATCTAATACCGTTGACGAGAGTAGTAATAATTCAAGATATAGAAGACTTACTGTGGTTATTTAGACAACCTATAAACATTTTATGACCACCACAAGAATCAAAAAGAGAAAGAAGATTAATTCTGTGAATCGAAAAAGTAAACTACAGTATCTAACCATTCTGATTTTAGCGAGAGAAACAGAAATTTTCATTCTCTACTGCGATTACTCTTTCTACAAAATTGAAACCGCTCAATCGTAAGAACAATATGGTAAAGAAAATATAATAAGTTGTTTCTGCAGAAAAATTACTAAAAACCAGAACAATTATTGCTATAAGAAAGCAGTTTCTAGCCATCTCATATCCATCCATTTATGTCATTGTAAAAACTAATGACATTGTCTAACCTGTTCCTCTATAGACAGTTATACATTAAATTAACAGAAAAAAGCACAGGAATTTTTTTCTGAAAATTATGGAACACCAAACGCTTGATACTTCGTAAAGATTCATTGTTAAATGATATTGGTGGTAGCCGGTTGGTTCCTTCTAATCATTGAATCAACAGTTACTGTCATTGCGGGATCTATTTTCATCCTGGGAAAATGGGGTAATCATTGCTCATTTTTTGATCCGTGTTAAGAGTCGTATGAACTAGTTTTTCGTATGGAAATCACCACATGATGAGGGATGAACTAATTCTAATGCATTTTAACCCAATTTATCTCTGCTAGTTCATCTACAAGTTTCAAATTTTAACTGCGAGTATTGTCAGGTTAATATTGATATCGTTTGTATCGTTTTATTACAGTGTTTATTCAGGACCACCACAAGAAAATGTTCAATTCCGAGCTCAATTTTACGGATAATTTCTCAACCTATTATTCGTGGAGAAAATAGGATAGTACGTACCAGAGAATAATTCAAAATACGGTCGGACCTCACTGTCCATCTACATGTAAGACTAATATTTCAAGAAACAAAACCAATCGTACCTCTGCATTTGGTTATGCTGCATAATTATATCAGATCATGTGATCTCCAGAATAACCAAAATAAGTAAACAACTAATATTACGATTTACTGAGATGGACACGTCCTCATTATGAGAGACTGGTCCGAGAAAGGTTGGATGACAATTTTGTAAACTTCTTTTCACTCATCAACCATTCAGAATTTATTTTTACTCATACGTGCACAGGAGACCAGTCATGATTGCTGGTACTAGGATCTTTAGATTGATGTGGGGGGCTCCGAATTTATCTGTAACTAGTTGTTGCCCGCGGCTTCTAGTCTAGTTCACATGTACTTTTTTTTTGTAACATTTTTCAGCCCTGTCCAAAAATTACGACCAAGGTGTCATTCGATGCGTATTTTTGCCTAGAAAGTTTAAGGAAAGGTTCGAAAACGCGCCGATAAAAATTACAAAAGTTATAAACAATTAAGTGAAAAAAAATGGGGCTTTAGTTTTTTCTTAATATCTCGGAAAATTTTCAAAATTTTGGAAATTTGAAAAAAGATTNTTCAATACCACTTTTGTAGAATTATTTATCTTTTTCCTCAAAATAGGCATAAGTTTCAGCAATAACCTCTTCATTCGGGCGGAATTTCTTACTGGTGAACAATTTTTTGAGGTGTGCCAACAGCCAGTAGTCACTGGGAGCCAAATCTGGTGGATGTGGGAGCAATTCCAAGTTCAATTCATGTAGTTTTGCCATTGTTTTGATTGACTTGTGCACAGTGCGTTGTCTTGATGAAACAAAATTTTTTTCTGTCATATGCGGCCGTTTCTTTGCAATTTCAGCCTGCAAACGCTCCAATAACGCTTTATAATATTCAATGTTAATGATATTTCCCTTCTCAAGATAGTCGATGAATATTTCACCACGCACATCCCAAAATACCGAGGCCGCAACCTTTCCAACCGATTGTTGTGCTTTCGGGCTCTTTGGACGAGGTTCGCCAGTTGCTCTCCACTCAGATGACCATCGTTTCAACTTCGGAGTGAAGTGAAGGATTCATGTTTCATCCATTGTCACACATCGACCCATAAATTCCGGTTTGTTTTTTTAAACATGGCAAAATACTGCTCAGAATCATCAAGACGTTTTTATTTTTGGTCGCGCGGCACCCACTTTAAACAAAGCTTGCTCATAGTCAAATGCTGATGCTTCTACTATTGTAGAATAGTTTGAAGTACCAGTAACTGATGAAGCTACCGTGTTTGAAAAAATTGTGAACATTCTATAATTACTATCATGGATAGATTTAGCTTTTTATCTGATAGGGTGGATTCAGGAAAGATATTGATAAACATGTATTATGAAAATACAGTTCATTCATTTTTTTATGAAAACCAATTTGATACTATATCTATAACACCAAGACTGTTATACATTTTACGACGAGATATTCGCTTCTTGAAGTAAATATGTTTGAATATGTTAAAAATATGTTTTTTTCATTAACCAGCTATTGCACTCCTACGAACGACAACCCTCAGACGTCGAAACTTGTGCGAGCTAAGGTCTAACGAGGTCTTACCTTTTAACGTGTGATTCCTAACACGGGTTGGACAATAGCAAGTGAAAATCGATCGTTCAACTTGCGGCTTGAATCATCGATTCACATATCGGCCGATTGACTGAGTGAACAAAGCACCCACGTCGAACCGCCCGGCTACCGATCGACCAAATGTGTGTCAAAATATAGAAGTACCTTTATTTTCAAGAGTTACTTAATTTTTCGATGCTGTTTTTGAAACGAGTTTTCATAGATCGTTTAGTTTGACAAACGTATTTTGGGTAGTACTCTTATTTTTTATGAATACATTATACGCTTTTCAGTTTTTCTTTGTTAGTTGCCTGAAGTGTGAAAGTAGTTTTAAAAGCAACTTTCATGTTAATTTTCCAAAATATGCGATTAAATCAACAAGTGTATTTTGGTTCATATAATAACAATTCATTATATTTGAGGAGTCTAGAAATGTTCGACACGTTGAACAAGTATTCAAAAAATATGTTTGACTTGAAACATATTGGAGTGTGTTTTCAGCGAATGAAAAACACAGAATAATTGATAATACATCCATTTTTCAAGTCAAGTGTTTACAAGAACAACCGATAAGCACTTCGTCATATCTTTAAAATTAGATGAACAGTACTTGAGATTTTTTGGTATAAATTTACAGCTTTCGAATAGTAATACGCAGAGTGAGAATAGAGTTGTCTGTATACGACTGCAATTTGAAAATAATCAGTGAATTCATTATAAAAATATGAAGCTACTACTGGTAATTACTGTTATTTTTGCTATTATTGTAGCTGTGTTGGGAGCTGCTGTTCAAGAAAAACCTAGGGAGAATGGAGGTACGTCTTTCATTTAACAAAATAGGTTCATATACATACATACATATATATATATAACACATGGATCAATAAGTCCCGAGACTAACAATGAAAACAACATTTTTTTTACAAAATTTT